GTTTGGTTTGTATTTATGGGTTCTTAATATTTAACAGTGTTTGGTTTGTATTTATGGGTCCTTAGTATTTAACAGTGTTTGGTTTGTATTTATGGGTCCGTAGTATTTATGTTTTGTTTTTTAAAACATGTGATGCTAGAAATAGACTGATCTCAGAAACATAAAAGGCTTCTGTGGGTCGCGGGTTCGAATCCCCGTCACACCAAACATGTTCGCCCTTTCAGCCGTGGGGGCCTTATAACGTGACGGTCAATCCCACTATTCCTTGGTAAAAGAGTAGCCCAAGAGTTGGCGGGTGGTGATGACTAGCTGCCTTCTCCCTAGTCTTACATAGCTAAATTAGGGTCGGCTAGCGCAGATAGCCCTCGTGTAGCTTTGCGCGAAATCCATAACAAACAAACAAACAAACCTTATCAATAGCTGCATATCCGGGCACATAGAATTATGGATTGACGGACTTTAGAAAACAACAAAAATAATTTATAGTGATTGATCTGCGCGTGTATAAGTCAGTACTAAATAAGTTCTGATAAAACGTCTATAAATATTACGCGAAGGAGCACGTGAACTTCCGCAGTTTATATTTTTCTTGATTTAGGTTGAACGTTATACAATTTTTGTCAGTTTCACGCGCATGGCGAGAGTCGAAAAACAGGTTGAACTGGAACTGAAAATGTTAAATAGTTTTATCTGGAATGTTGCTGTGTCTGGGATCGCATGATATCCGTGGCTTCTATACGTAAGCTTAAACGTTCGTTCAAAAAAAAAAAAAACAGCTTTAAAAATGGGCATCTTTACTCCCTGCTAGGTTTTTTTTTAGGTATTATCATTCTAAGTTCTATTATGTCAATATTCACAGTGAAACAAGCTATGTGCGGTTACACGTTTCTGGTTTTAAATATGTATATTGTGTTGTGTACTAAATGATACAAATGTAACTTAAATATTATTTGTTGAGACAGACTGCCCCCCCAGTGGCACAGCGGCATGTCTGCGGACTTATAACGCTAGAATCCGGGTTTCGATACCCGTGGTGGGCAGAGCACAGATAGCCCATTGTATAGCTTTGTGTTTAATTTACTAAACAAACAAACATACTGTATTGGAAAGAAAAAAAACAAACAAACTTTGTAACCGTAGTATGCACCGTTTCTTAACTGTTTAAATATATTCAAAGAGAATTACCTGTTGTACAGTGTAATGATGGAGTTTTAACCTAACTCACTAATCTATACTCACTGCTGCTGGTTTTGTTTATAACTATTTACTGTAGAAGTGTTATAGCAACCTCTGGTGCTTCGTGTTCGTAAAGACAGAATGGATTCATTAGGCCTAAAATTACTGGCGAGGGACCTAGCAGAAAGGATTAATGCGTGTAGAGTCATTAGGCCTAAAATTACTGGCGAGGGACCTAGCAGAAAGGATTAATGCATGTAGAGTCATTAGGCCTAAAATTACTGGTGAGGGACCTAGCAGAAAGGATTAATCCGTGTAGAGTCATTAGGCCTAAAAATTACTGGCGAGGGACCTAGCAGAAAGGATTAATCCGTGTAGAGCATTTAGTTTCGAAGTTAGTTCCCAGAAGAGTGGCCTTACTTTGAACTTTTGTTCACCAAGTTGCATCTGGTGGTTTCACGTAAAAACTTATTTCAAGGCAATCTTAACTTACTGGACTACGTGTTTATGCTCAAACTGCATACCCAGTAAAATAAATTCTTATATAACTAAAGCATGTAGAAGACCTATTATATTACTGCTGTAACTCAACGTAACCCAACTGTATTCACCGTATCTCTAGAAAGTAGCTCACTGAGTTATGGTTTTGCTGCTGTATCAAGAGTATTGTTGGTACATCAAATAACGCTTTCACGTGTTTCATTCATAGTCAAAAGTTTGTTTTTGAAGTTAAGCACACAAAGCTACACAGTGGGCTATCTGTGCTCTGCCCACCACCTGTACGTGGTACGTGTACTACAATTTGAGAATCTCTCTACTAGAGAACGCTGGCTGTAGATACCGTACAAACTAATTGATGTCTTTAGTTCCTGACTCCTCATTTTTGAAAAAAGAAAACAAAAAAACTTGGTGTATATATATATATTATATACACCGATTTCGCCCCTTCCCACTAGTGGCTCGGCTGTAATCTGACAATTTATAACGCTAAAATCGGGTTTCGATACCCGTGGTTACCATAGCGTACAAACCAAACAAACCATTGATTTTCTAACAATAGTCGTCGTAGCGGAAGTGACTTTTTTAAACATACCTAGATGGCGTTAACGTTTTTTCAGAGATGGTTTGTTTGTTTGAAGTTAAGCACAAAGCTATACGAAGGGCTATCTGTGCTCTGCCCATCACGAGTATCGAAACCCGGTCTCTAGCGTTGTAAGTCCCCAGACATACCACTGTGCCACGGGGGGGGGGGTCAAAGGTGGCATTTGAAATAAAACAAATAAATCGAGTTTTTAACGAAGCAGAATAAGTGAACATGGTTTTTGGTCAGAAAATCAAAAGAAGGCCAGAAGTCGCAAAACAACTAGTC